AAAAGATATTATATTACTATACAATATGATATAAATCTATGTATTTAGCAAGTAAATATTATATCAGAACATATATTGGGCTTAGCCGCTCATTTCGGATAAGCTGCTGAGTTCGCGGCCATACTCCTATACTGGTGAAAACGAGTGCTGCTCGGGAAAAAAATATTATATTGTAAATCTATCAAACATGGCTGTTACAGTTTCGAATACCCAATTTTAAACAATTTCTACTACTGCATTTCACAAGAAACCCAGTTAGCTGAAAAATCTGAGATGACTATCACGAGTTGTCGTTTTATATGTTTTGCGGTAGCTGAGCTCGGGAGACTTTCCTCACCATGTTATGACTATTCACAGGCTGAGCTCAGGAGCCGATTGAAGTGCCGACTCTCGGAAATCCCATTCCGAGAGTCCACAAATTAAAGTGCGACCCCTCGGAAAAGTCAATTTTCCGACAACTTGGACTCGGAAATGAGAGCACTTTAATCGGCTGAGCCCAGTGGGATGATTAAGATTATCCCTCTCTACTTCACCACTCACCTGGTTAGACGACGACCCCTGGGAATAGGGAATAACAGAGCTAACTAACGATTTAGCTAAAGTATGGAAAGGGGGAGCCTGAGGACTATAGCTATCTCGTAATGATCGATCAACATAATATCTATGCATATACATTGGACCTCTACCATACCAAAAATCAATAATATATAAAACAGTTACGTGAAGTGGCGTCGTGAAACTCGGCGTGAAAAACGCGATATTCAACGCGGTGATATGCAGTAGTCGTGAAATATATTTTTCACTAGTGTTTTTCATATCACTAGGGTAGTCAAGAAACTCCACTATATTAAATTCTAATGTGTTATATAAATATATTCAATAAAATTGTACAACATAATCCACGATGAAGAGACTTCAAGATATTTTCGGGCGCAGCGAGATATTCTTCTAGCGGAGCGAAGCGATTCATGTTTCACATTTTCCTCATAAAAGCCGTCACCTTCTCATAGCTACACTAGAATGGTAGGGGGTAAACGTCAGAGCTCATCTAAGGGCAAGTCCAAGGGGCCTGAGAAGCCTTCCTTCAAAACGGCTAAGTTGAATGCTAAGGGTGGCAAGGGCAGATGGAGTAGTAGAGGGGGGGGGGGGGGGAGTTACTTGTGATGAAAAAATGGGAATTATGTACTTATATAATTAGTTTGAAACTAATCTCAACAGAGGGGGAGTTATTTGTGATGAAAAAATGGGAATTATGTACTTTTATAATTAGTTTAAAACTAAACTCAACGGATGGGGAGTTTATTTTTGATGAAAAAATGAAAAAATATGTACATGATAGAAATGTGCATAGTTAACAACTACATGTGTAAGCCTTTACCAAAATTTCTGATGAAGAAAAATGGGAGAATAATGGAAAATAATCTACTACTACTACTACTACTACATGTGTTGGAAGATTTCTCCTTGTTTTCTGTAAGCATCTATAACTAGTTGACGAAACTAAACTCAACAGAAATTGTCAAAAATTCCTCTCAAATTTTTCATATTGTCATCACCAACACATGCAGTTGACCATATGCATATTTTCCTCTTACAATGAGTACGCTTTTACATTTCACCAATAGATTGGTTTTTAGCTGTAAATCTGTTGGAGTTTCTTTTTCACCCTAGTGATAGTGAAAATTATATTTCACGACTACTGCATATCACCGCGAATATCGCGTTTTTCACTTCACGTAAAACGGGTAATCGTGAAACTCCATTGAAATCTTTTTCGTCGAGTTCACGATAGCGAGTCGTAATAGGAGTAGGAATATATGTTTGCGTTCCTCAGCTGCTGAGCTCTGCTGAGTTTCCAAAGCTTATTATGAAAATTCACAAACGAAAATTCATATTTTTTTATCTATATTTGCATCATTGTCAACGACCACAGATAGACATGTGCATATAGAGTTTAGCATTTAGTTTGCCTCATTTTTTGGCGATTTTGCTACGCATAAAATTTCACGCCAAAATTCTGATGAGGAAGGCATCTATATTCTTAGACTGTAGTTGTACTCTTGCGATTAGAAGTTGCTCAATCTGGCGTAGATAAGAAAACATCATATCTTTGGAATTTACGACTCCTAGCAAAGACTTTTATCACTTCGTATTAGATCATTTTAGTATTTTTAAAAGTAATATTTTATATACGTTTTCCCACTGGGGAGTTGCTGCTGAATTTTATGTTACTCGTAATAAAATTACGAAAAATTTTGAAAAGAAATGCATTGGCTGAGAATTGAACCTGGCTCGTCATTGGGTTAATTTTTCCAGATAACCCCGCTATCCGCGCGGCCAAACGTCGACAACATGAACAGCAGTTGGCTAACTTACCTCCTGAGGAAGCTAAGGCGAGACGAAGTGAAGAGAAATGGCAGCGAGCCACCAGCCTAGTA